GTCACCAATTGACCGAGATTGTTAAATCACTAGGTGTCAACCTAACTTTAAAGGAAAGCCACCTGTGAAGATGTTTTTAGTTTGGCTCCAGTCACTGAGCTATATACTTACAAGATGTGCACTTTCCTTTATGTTATATATCTTTAAATATATATATTCGGGGGCACCAGGCTGGCTCAGTCAGTTAAGCATCCGACTCTTGACTTTGGCTCAGGTCCTGTTCTCTCGGTTTGTGAGTTCGAGCCCTACATCGGGATCGGCACTGACAGAGCCTGCTTGGGACTCTCTCCCCCTCTCTCTTTGCCCCTCCGCTACTCTCTCTCTCTCTCTCTCTCTCTCAAAATAAATAAATATTAGGGGCGCCTGGGTGGCTCAGTCGGTTAAGCGGCCGACTTCGGCTCAGGTCATGATTTCGCGGTCCATGAGTTCGAGCCCCGCATCGGGCTCTGTGCTGACAGCTCAGAGCCTGGAGCCTGTTTCGGATTCTGTGTCACCCTCTCCTCTGACCCTCCCCCATTCATGCTCTGTCTCTCCCTGTCTCAAAAATAAATAAACGTTAAAATAAATAAAAGATAGATAGATAGATAGATAGATAGATAGATAGATAGATAGGTTCACAACATCTAGGATATGTTCTAGGCACCTACATAATTGTTAAAGCTTCCTGTGTTTCTCAGTAGCATCTAAGGTTAAGAACTCTTGATAAGAAGTGACTAGGGACCCCAGAGCAAGTAGATGAAGGAGAGTGTGGTGTAGGCAAAGGGCAAGGATGCTGAGGCAGGACTTCAATCATACTTAGAATAATGATGTTCCAGAAAGTCCAACAGACTGATAGGTTGATACACACAAAACCTCTGGGTGTCAAAAACAAACAAACAAACAAAAAACACACCAAACCAGCATTTAAAAATATAAGAAGCAGGTAATTGGGGAAAAAATTATAGCAAAAGGTTAATAGCCTTACTATTTATATAAAACTCTCACAGATCAAAAAGAAGATGAGCACCCATTAGAAAAACAGTACAGACATGAACAGGCAATTCAGCAATACAATGAGTCAATACATTTATAAAAAGTGGTCAGCCTCACCAGGAATCAAATAAATGCAAACTAAAACAACAAAGAGACGTTATCTTTTGCCTAGCTAATTGGCAAAGATTAAATACATGATAATACCTCATGTTAGTGAGGGTGTGGAAAAAACAGGCACTGTCATTCACTGTTTGGAGTGCAAATTGGTGCAACCTTTCCAGAAGGCAATTTGGCAATGTTTAAGGATGAGGAAGATCGCATACCCTTTTGATGCAGCAATTCCACTTTTAGAAAGATTGCCTTAGGAAATTATTGTGGATAGTAAGAAAGAAACAATAATAGCTAACCTTTGTTTCATGCTCTGTGCAAGCCTGGCTTTACATGCATGGTCTCATATGATCCTTACAGCTATCATCCCATGAGGTAGGAGCTGTTATTATCACCCGTATTTCATGGGAGCTGTTATTATCACCCGTATTTCATGGATACGAAAACCGAGGCACAAAAGGATTAGGTCAATAGCCTGAGGACACAAAGCTAAGAAGTAGCAAAGCCTGGATTTGAATCCAGGCGGTCTGAGTCAAGAGCCATCCCGCGTGTCCAGCCGTACACGCTGGGTGTGTACAAAGGATGAACACTGCGTGCGCTGGATGAACACACTGGATCCATATACTGAGTCAGGTTGCCAGGATGTTCCTCTGGGCCTGCTAATCCTGTGGGGGATGGGAGAAAACATGCTGCATACCCCAGGACAGGAATTGGTTGCGTAAATGATGATACACCTACACCGGGATAGTATACAACCATGAAAAATGAGAAGATAATGTGTAAACAGTAGGGTTTGTATAAAATACCTGAAATGTCTCTGAAATGATATAAACAGAACTGATACAATTGGTTGCCTCCTGCAAAGACAATTGTGTGGCTGTGGAAAGAAGTTAGACAGTGACTTGTTTTTTGGTTTTATTTTAGAGAGAGAGAGAAGGCAAGGTGGGGAGAGGGGTAGAGGGGTAGAGGGAGAAAGAATCCTTTTTTTTAATGTTTATTTAAAGAGAGAGAGGGGCGCCTGGGTGGCGCAGTCGGTTAAGCGTCCGACTTCAGCCAGGTCACGATCTTGCGGTCCGTGAGTTCAAGCCCCGCGTCGGGCTCTGGGCTGATGGTTCAGAGCCTGGAGCCTGTTTCCGATTCTGTGTCTCCCTCTCTCTCTCTCTGCCCCTCCCCCATTCATGCTCTGTCTCTCTCTGTCCCAAAAAATAAATAAACGTTGAAAAAAAAAATTTAAAAAAAAATAAAAAAAAATAAAGAGAGAGAGAGCAGGGAAGAGGCAGAGAGAAAGCGGGAGGAGAGAGTCCCAAGCAGGCTCCACACTGCCAGGCAGAGCCCGATACAGGATTCGAACCCATGAACCGTGAGATCATGACCCAAGCTGAAACCAAGAGTCAGATGCTTAACCGACTGACCCACCCAGGTGCTCCGGGAGAGAGGAGTCGTAAGCAGGCTCCACGCTCAGCATGGAGCCTGACCAATGTGGGCCTGGATCCCACAACACTGGCATCATGATCCAAGCCAAAATCAAGAGTCGGAGGCACAACCAACTGAGCCACCCACGTGCCCCAGAGGGAGACTTGTTTTTTAAACCATATACCCTTTTACAATTCTTGAATTTTGATTTATGTAAAGATATGAAAATATGTATATATCTATAAATATATATACACATGTAAGTTATGTTTAGAGCTATTCTGCATAACTTTATTTCCTTGAAATGCTACTGAGGGTTCTGAAAAAAAAGTTCTAAGACCCTTGGTTGGAGAATCATACCAAAGTCAGTGATGATACTTCTTTAACCGTGTTTCCCCACTTGTTCCCCAAACTGATTTGATCATGGAACTCTTTTCTTAAGTAATACCTATTATCATCCCTCTGGATATTCATGTCCTATAGAATTCAGTTTGGGAAATGCTATTATTAATAATTAATGCCAACGGGCGCCTGACTGGCTCAGTAGGAGCATGTAGCTCTTGATCTCAGGATGGGAAGTTCAAGCCCCACGTTGGGCGTGGAGCCTATTTAAAATAAATAAACAAACAGGGGCGCCTGGATGGCTCAGCTGGTTAAACATCTGACTCTTGATTTTGGCTCAGGTCATGACCTCACGGTTCGTGAGATTGAGACTCGCCTCTGGCTCTGCACCGACAGCACGGAGCCTGCTTGGGATTCTCTCTCTGCCCCTCCCCTGCTCGTGCTTTCTTTGTCTCAAAATAGATAAATAAACATGAAAATTTTTTTTAATAGACAAAGTATTAAAAAATAATTAAGGCCAAGCTCAAAGGCCTTGTTTCATTAAATGAAAGAAACACGTTACTGACACTGACCCATTTGTTTACAACATGTGTGTGTGTCGCTATACGTTACTTCTGAGTACTAGGATGATGGATGATTGCTTCTTTTATCCATCTATATTGTTAAGTTTTCCAAAATGAACAAAATCATTTCACAAGCACTGTTTTTTGGGGTCTATGTTTATCGTTTTTGAGGCTTCAGGAGCCCTTTCTCTCTCTTCTCTCCCCGCTGGCATCTTCCCCCTGCCTCCAAGCAGCAGCTCAGAGGTAGGCTCAATGGGGGACCGCCAGGCCCCCTCAGGCACCTTCGTCCAGAGCCAGCCTAGACCATTCAGTCACCGGACAACTCCCTAGCCCCAGCAGACCATCGCTTCTGCTGTTGGAAGGATTTCAATGAGGTCCTCATTCTCCCAGAAGAGACACGGGCTGCAAAGCAGACACCAGGCTGCTACAAGCCTGACCTGTTGCAAACCCAGACACCTGGGCTCTGGTGCCAGCTCCGTGGCAGCCTGGCTGTGTGGCGTTGGTCAAGTTTCTTACCTTCTCTGAGTCTCATCTTCACCATCCAAGTCGGCAATGACACTTGCCTTACAGAGCTCAGGGACCAAATGAGAGCATGCATGAAGGCATTGTGTAACGTGTGAAGGGCTGTCCCAGTGGAATTACCACCACAGCAGGGAGCACGGGCTTGCCCTTACCTTCCTGTGAACAGAGTACTTTTTCCTTTTTTTTTTTTTCTTCTTTTTTTGGTTTAGGTTGTTGAGGGGAGGGGGACAAGGAGATGAAGCATGGGAGAGTGGGCATGTGGAAACAGAATTATGTGTAAGAAAAATGGGAGAAGCCTCTAGTAGCTTGACATTTGCAGGCCTGCAGCACTGGGTGGGCCTGTGCCCACCAGTGTAGCTCCAAGCTTTATCACCCAGACAGCTGCTCCACTCGACCCATCCGAGTGAGCCCAGCCGCCGGACCGCATGGGATTCTCCTGAGCCACAATGCTGACTCTGCCTGGCCCACCTCCCTTCCTACCCACTCTGGCCCCTTAGCCTTCTTCAGCTCTTAGCTAAGTTAGCTCCTCCCCCAGCCTGGATTGGGGTCGCTCCCCTCAGTTTTTGTAACTTCGGGCCTCTGTGAACCATGCTGTGATGTTAATGCCAGGTTACAGCTTTCCTACCAGACTGAACTTCCTGAGGGCAGGAGCGGTGTCTGTCATCTTGGTCTGCCTGTGTCCTCTAGGCCAGCTTAGGCCTGGGGGTCTGGGACACCAGTTAGAGCCTGAGCACTGAAGTCAAGGGAACCTGGGTTTGAATCCCAGTTCACCTTGAGGAAGCGACGTCACCATTTTGAGCCGCAGTTTTCGCCATCCATAAAGGGGCTTTATCATTGCAGTGAGTTCATGGGGTTATTTTCATAAGCTAAGGTTTATAAAATTCCTAGTACCGTTCCAGGCGTGAAGGAAAGCCCATAGGTAGTAGCCACATTGACATCATGGCAGGCCCTCTGTGAACGCTTATCGAATTGAACTGGCAAATGACACCAGGAGGGGCGGCCCTTCCTGCACTGCTCACACTTGGCACTTGCCTGCCCCCTCTGCCACCAGTGCTCACCTCCCTGCCTTGTACCCCACAGCCACCCGGCCCAAGCTGAAGAAGATGAAGAGCCAGACGGGACAGGTGGGTGAGAAGCAATCACTGAAGTGTGAGGCAGCAGCCGGCAACCCTCAGCCCTCCTATCGCTGGTTCAAGGATGGCAAGGAGCTCAACCGCAGCCGTGACATTCGCATCAAGTACGGCAACGGCAGGTGAGAAAAAACACTCTGTCCACCCGGCTGCCCTCCATCCTCCCTGAAAAGGAGGGACCGGCCCTGGTCCCCCCTTCCTGGCCACACCCAATCTCTCCTTGCACCTCTGGATTATGTTGGCCCAGTGTCGTGCGGGCTGTAGATGCTTAATGAATGTCTCTGGATGGATTATCGAACTCAGCTTTACCTGCGGAAGTCCCCTCTTGTCCCCAAAACTTCTCACAGGATCTGCCACAGTGTCCGAAAGCCCACATTTGGCCATCTTCAGGGAAACACTGGTTCCAGGATGCATCTGGGAGATCATGAGTGATGACCTCCACCTTTTTCTCTCCAACGCCAACCCTCTCACATCACTTCCCTTCTGAAAGCTTTCCCTCCACATCGCTGCCCCTCTCCCTCCTCCACTTCTTGCCCATCCCACTTCTCTCCACCATCATGGAGGGTCAGTTTCATGTCCACTGACTCCACCCTGTCGTCCTCCACACCTCTTTGCCTTCCTGGAATCTGCCTTGTAAATACACCCCCACTCTGCCTATGGCTGTGGCTCTTGAGAGACCTGGCGACCTCAGACCTCCCACGCCCCTTGCCTCCAGGCCCCTCTGCAGCCACTGGCATGGATGCCACCTGCTCTCTTGCCTCTGCAGCCCCCCTTCCTGGTCCTTCCGTGCCTCTGACCGTTCTCTCAGTCACCATCAGGGCTGGAAGTTTCCTGTTGAGGGGGCTTCCCTCCTCTTCTCCCTCCCTCTCCACCTGTGGGTGATTTCACCCTCTCTGAGCTGATAACCCTGTGATGACTTTTTTTTTATACCGGAGTTCCAGATCCACACTGCCAGCTGAACACTAGATCCCACCCCCAAGATACCCACAGACAGCTCTGATCCTGTATGCCCCAGTCTAGCCTCTCCCCCTTGCCCTCTCCGGCCCTGCCTCACCCTCCTGTGCTCTCCTCACAGCTGTCGTGGAAGTGGAGTGCCCGCTGCTTGGCACCACCCCCTCCAGCGGGAGACACCCTGCTCCTTGCCCTGCATGTTTCTTATCTGCTCTCCTGCCTCTGGCCTCTTGTCCTCCACGGTCCCACTCTTGGCCATCCCCACTTTTCCTGGGCCACAGGCCCGTTTGTGAGCTCATCTCTGTATCTAACATGTGCATATGGAACATCAGCCCTGTGCCAGGCACTCTACTCTGCCAGAGGCTGGACGTACACTGGCGATTGACCCAGACATGGTCCCCACCCTCACAGAGCCTCTAGTCTAGCTTCCAATACAGAATGTGGTGAAGGCCCCCACCCTTTTTTTCAGAGAAAAATGTGCCTTATCCACCCAGTTTTGCTTATAGTTTTAGAGGTCCACTGAGCCCTGTGACCCTGGCAGGGGATGACCTTTCTAACATGGACACATATCTGATCATTCACTCATTTGCTGGATAGATCTTGAGAGCCTGCTGTATGCCAGCCTCAACCCAGACCTCAGGACCCTTCCAACTCCTCTCTTCCTCACCTTTAAGTCACTGCCATGCTGCTCCCCAACTCCTCAGTGCTCCTGATCCCCGGTCTTTCCTTTCATGACCCTGGACTTGGACCCCAGCTATGCTGGCAGCTCCCCCCTCCCCCACCTTGTCCCTGGCAAAGTTCTCCAGGTCCAGATTAAATGTCATATCCTCTGGGACACCTCCCTGAACCCTCCAGGAAGCTCTCATGGTCTCTTCTCATGGTGCCTTGGACACCGTTCCATTCATTTGGGGGGTTCTCTTTCCCTCTAGCATGAGAGAGCCTCAGAGGCTGGATGCCACCCATATACACCCTTTTGCCCTGTACAGCCTGGCAGAGGACATCCGCATTGAGTGTTACATTGATGAGAATCTTGCAGAACTAGATGTCCTCTCCCGGGTTCAGGGCGACTCTAGGACTGGACAAGACACCCTTTGGGTTGACCTAGACTTTGAGCAAGTTACCGTCCTGGTTAAGCCTCACTTTTTTTTTTTTTCTTCAAGTTTATTTATTTTGAGAGAAAGAGAGTATGTGCATGCATTAGTGGGCGAGGGGCAGAGAAATTTGGAGAGAGAACATCTCAAGCAGGCTCTGCACTGTCAGGGGAGAGCCCGACACAGGACTCAAACCCACAAACTGAGATCATGACCTGAGCCAAAGTCAGACGCTTAACCAACTGAGTCACCCAGGCGCCCTAAGCCTCATCTGACAAATTGGTTACCCAGTCCAGAAAGAGTACGTGGTCAAGTCTTTCAGTCCTGGGTATTGGGGACCCCTAAGAGCCTGAAGTGTGCCTCCTGCCTTCTTTCTGTTAGGGCCCTGTCCCATTTGCTGCATTCCTGAAACTTCGCTCCACCCAACCTGCTCCTGGGCTCCCAGCAGCGAGTTGGCTGGGTAGAAGACGGGGAGCTGTGATGGAGAACTTCTGATTCCCTCACTGTGGCAAAGAGGCCTGCCACCTCCACACACACGCTTCACCTACCAGGGGGGCCAGGGACAGGAGCAGGAGTCTCCATTCTGGCAAAATCTCTCTTTCCTTCCACCCACACTACAGCTTGCTCTTTGGTCATCCTAGCACGCCATCTGCCAGGCCACAGTAGCTCTTGAAATGGCTCTTGGTTCTCAGAGGCCCCCTTCCCGGCGGGTGCTGGCTATCTCTAGGGCCGCCATGCTGAGGTGTCTCACCCAAGCCTTCCTGTGCCAGAAGAAAACCAGCCCCCCCAAGCCCTGGGCGCAGGTCCCTCCCCTGCAGAACCGCGTGTTCCCTTATTTATGAGGGGCAAGCTGGAACAGGCCCCTCAGGCAGGCAGCAGGAGGTAGGCACTGAGGAAATGTGCGGACGGGTGGAGGATGCGTTCCTGCCAGCAGAAAACTGGCTGAGGAAGGAGGGGAGGTGCACCCATCACAGGGGCAGGCCTGGGTCATTGTGGCGAGCGGGCACTGGGCACCAGGAAGGTGGGAGAGAATCTTGAATCCTCGGGGCTTCCTACGGGAGCTAGGAGTGAGAAGAGAATGTAGTGGCCCCTGCTCCTCTAGGGCTAAGAGAACCATAGAGCCTATACCCTTTGGCTCTGACCCCAGGGTCTCTTATGCAAGTCTGGGCCCCCCTCCCTGGAACTGACGAGATCATCACACAGCTGATAAGCTAAGGTGCCTGCAACCAGTAAACCTAGGGGTCATTGCTTCTGTCCACTTGCCTCTTTCCAGTTCCTCAAAGGAGAGGGCCTCTCCCTGAGCCCTGGACCTACACTTTCTGAAGGTCTCATGTACCTTGTGTGGGAAGGCCTTCCTTCCATTTCCAGCTTTTATCCCTCCAGGTATCTGTGAGCCTAACTCCACCTTTCTTTCCTGTTACATGGGATGTGGTGTAAAGGAAGCTCCTTTGAGTACAGCAGTGGGTGAGAAGGAGATTCTGGCTCTGTGCCCCCTATACCTTGACCCTGCGAGCCTCAGGTGGTCATCTGCGCTTCTCACCCAGTGTCAGGGAATTGCTGCTGATGGCCAAGAAGTGAGAGAAGCCTGGTCCTGGGGCAGCTGGACTTTGTGGTATCTAATTAGGCTGGAGCCAGGAAGGAGATGCTCTTTTAGCCAGAGGGGCCTCCAGGGCTCTGTTTAATGAGGAGAACAAACTTGAATTGACAGAAGAGGTTTGGAGGCAGCCACCAGGCCAAGGAGACAGAGACTGGCTTGAGCTGGGAAGGGTTGGAGGGATGGAGTTGCGGGGGCAGCCAGGCAGCTGTCGCCGAGACATCAGCGAGGATGTCACCACGGCAACAGGGCCTGCTGACCAGACAACCTCATGGACCCTCATTTGGAGGATCTTAGAGTGAGGTGATCTGAGAGGAGGCCCCCCCTGGAGGCAGAGGCGAGCCCAGGAAACGGGGAGCTCCAGAGTACAGCCCCAGTGACGATGGCGGTCCGTTTGCCGCCTCCTCTACCCAGGGCCCAGCCTCGTTCCCCTGTCCTTCCCCCAGCAGCTTTCGTGGCTCTGGTTTTCATCCCTGGGCTTAGGACAGTGACAGCTGTACTGCCCTACCTCCTGTTCCACCACCCCTCCAACACACAACACAGATTCTGGGAATCTGGTGTTTTAATTTGGGGCTAAAAAGAGGAAGAGGTTACATCATGTAAAGAAATTTTCATGCTACTTCTTGTTTCCCCCTGGGGGCCGGGCTGGGGTACTAGGCTTTATCCAGAGCTCGGATGGGCCCCTCAAGAGCACTGTGGCAGAGAGAGGGATGGGAGGTGTGAACAGACCCTGCAGAGCCCAGGTACCCTGGGGCAAGCGCAGAGAAACCCTGGGAAGGAAGGAGAGGTTTGGCAGGGTCTTCAGAAAGAAGAGGAGAACCGGGGCCTGGTGCCCTGGAGTCACACACAGCACGGAGTCCCTGCCCAGGCCTGGCCCCACAACTCTCGGCATGCAGGGACTGGGTGAAAAGCCCTTCACAGAGGGGGCTAGCCCCAGCCTCGGGCTCTGGGAAATAGTCCATGAGCCACCGAGGGGCCCGTGTCCCACCAATTCCCGCTTTTCACCCACCTCTGCTTTCACCTTGCCAGGTGATTTTGGACAAATCCAGAAGCCCCTCTAGGACTCAGTTTTCCCATCTGTACTGCCCTGTCCGCTTTCATGTTAGCCATGAGGGGCAAGTCAGGCCGTTAGGATTAGGATCTGTTTGTTCCCTTGACGTATCCAAAATTCAAGGACACAGAAGCTTTATTAAATTGACGAATGAATGAATGAATGAATGAACGAATGAGTGAATGAAGCTAAAGCCCCTGGGAGAGGCCCCAGAGTACCCCTGGTGGCAGGGCTAATATGAAGACAGGGGAGCTACAGTTTGGGACCAGGAGGCTGGGCACAGTTACCATGGGAACCTGTTAGATCAAGGGCCTGCCCAGGTACCTGGGAACAGGTCTTCCATATCTAGAGTGACAGGCTGCCACTTCTAAGGGAAGGCTGAGGTAAATGGCAAGCCGGAGGCTGCCCTGTTTTCAGGGAAACACCACGACTGGGGGAGGGACACCAAAAGGAGAGGAGAGAGGTAGCCATGTGACTTCCTTAGGAGACCCCACTTTTCTCCCCCACAAAAAGGGTACAAAGAAGGTCTGGCCCTAGAAAAGTGGACATGCGGGTTCATAGATTTAGAACATATGTGCAGCCACTAGCTCTTCCCTGTGTTCTCCTGTGCCCCTAGGTCCCCCTCCAGCTCCGGGGACTCAGCATTCTACCTGGAACCCAGAATCTACTTCCCACCCACCCTGCACAGCCACTGGGGCTGTATGGGAAGAGGTGACCGCTGGGAATCCACAGACAGCCAGGGCCTTGGCTCACGTCTCTCCCCCTCTTATCCCCTCCCTAACCAGAAAGAACTCACGACTACAGTTCAACAAGGTGAAGGTGGAGGACGCTGGGGAGTATGTCTGCGAGGCTGAGAACATCCTGGGGAAGGACACGGTTCGGGGCCGGCTCCATGTCAACAGCGGTAGGTGGTCCCCCAACAAGGGGAGGGGTCCTATGGGTGTTTGATGGGGCGGGCCAGTTGCCCCCAGCCCTCTGGAAGCCCGCACATGATCCATCTTGCACTTGATTCCCCTCCCCTCCTGCTGCTGCCCTATCAATCCCCGAGATCTGGGCCGATTCAGAGAAATGCAGTCCAAGCATAAATGTTTAGCTTTGTTATCTGGGCCTGGAAGAGCCGCCAGCTCTCATTTTAAATATCCTGAAAACTAAATATTTTGAAATCAAGAGGTGGGGGTGGGGAAAAGATATTTTTAGAAGGCAATTATGGGAGGCTGGGCTGCCAGGAGCGGGGCTCCGGGGAGAGGCAGGCCCCGGGCGTGTGGGAGCTGACTGCCTGTTGCTTTGCTGGGCACCCGAGTGCAGGCAGCCATCTTGGTGGGGGCCATGGCCAGGAGACTTGGGTGGATTGGCCCCTGCGGGCGGCCTCTTTTCAGGGACTGCAGACCCTTCTCCAACAGGTGGGCCTCTTCCTTAAAAACATACGCAGTCAGGGTGCCTGGGTGGCTCAGTCGGTTAAGTGTCCAGCTTCAGCTCAGGTTCTGATCTCATGGTTCATGAGTTCAAGCCCCGTGTCAGGCTCTGAGCTGTTAGCTCAGAGCCTGGAGCCTGCTTCAGATTCTGTGTCTCCCTCTCTCTCTACCCCTTCCCCGCTTGCACTTTCTCAAAAATAAACGTTAAACAAAATTAAAAACATGCGAGTTCAGGAGCCCACAGCACCCAGGGCACCCTTAGCTTCCTGCCTCCACCATGGCAGCTACAGTGTCAGTGGGCAGACAACCTGGTTTCCCTTGACCGGAAAGTGGCCGGAGCTGCCTGTCCTTAGACCGCATGCTTCCACTCTAGCCCCGGGAACTAACTCCAAACCAGGAACTAACTCCAAACAGCTCGCTGTCTTCCCAGCACCACCCACACACTGGGCATATCACTTGGCTACCTGGTTATTTGGGTTCGCTTCCAGGCCTGCCCCTGCCCATCTAATCCTGTATCTGCCTTCACCTGCCAGTACTTCCACTGGACAGGCCTCCAGTGCTCCCTAAACCCAGCATTATCAGGAGAATGTGGAACGTTCCTTGCCCTGAGACCCTTGGAGAAAAACCCGCTGCAGACCCTGCCTGCCCCATGTTGTAAGGGGTTACCCTATTCTCCCAGGTTCTGAGGCTCCTCCTCCACTATATTGTATAGTTCCAGGTCTCAGAGTCCTGGTTGATCTTCTTTCTGGATCTTTCTCACATCCGTACCCCCCATTCCAACCCTATGTCAGAGGCAACCTGGCCCAGGTTTCATCTTGATTCACCTAAACCTGAGCAGTAGCCTCTTAAGATGCTTTTATCTTGTCATGCCCCTACCCCATGGTACCACAGAACAAGGACTCTGTCCACAACCCAGTTCACACCAACTTGGCGCAAACGATCTTTCCAGCCGTAACTGTGTCAGTCCCTCACAGTCCATTCATATTCCTCTTCTCGTGCCATCTCTCCCAGGCTGCCGTCCTCCCTGACCCCTTCATCCCACCAGTGTCACCCCCAGGCCTCGCTCCCAGGCCACTTCTTGGCCAACTGTGGTCTTTCCTGAATTCTAGTGTCTCATTTTTCAAATCTCATACTGTTGCTGAACTTTTTCTTTATGCAAGTGTGACCTCCACCATGGAATGATGGAGACAGGAGTGGGGAGAGCAGGAATGATGCCTTCTCCCCAGGAGTTACAGGAACAGCTACTGTTTACCGAGAGCTGCTCCATTCCACATTCCACACTATATCTTGAACCCTGACAAGCCCGTGGTGTATTTTATAAATTATGAGACTGAAGCTCAAAGTGGTTAAATATCCTGCCCCAAGTCTAACTAATGGTTCACGAGAGCACTATACAATGTAAAAGTAGTTAGCAAACACTGAGACCCTGAGCTCCGTGGGGCTACGTGTAGCCTGATCGCCATTCTAACCTCAGAGCCTAACACAGTGCCTGGCTTACAGTACGCACCTGGTAAATATAGAAAAAGATTTATAATCTTCTCCAAGGCCTTTACTGACTCCCATATGCTCCAGTACCTGCCCTCCCTGCTCCTCCTAACCTGTCCCAAGCCCAGGAAAATGGACCATGCTAGGTGTCCGGCACCTGTTACCTCCAGCCATAGTGGGCAGACATTCTTAGATCCACTTTGGATTTGATGTTTATTGTTTTATTATTCAAGATTTTCTTGGTTAGAACTGACAAGAACCCAACTTCAAACTACCTTAAGTAATTGATTGGTTTTTGAAACTGGGAAATCCACAGGTAGAGCTGATAGAATCCAAGTCCTCAGAGTCGGGATCAAGGTGCTCTCTCCCTCTGGGTATTGTCCTCACTCTCTCCTACAGCAAAATGGGCTTCTCCCCTGTTTGGGGAATGGATTGGGAAGAAGAGGCCGTGGCCTCAGACAGCTCCATGTTTACATCACCCCGGCCTCTCTCCCAGAGAAAAAGCGGTAGCTTTGTCTCTACATCCACTCCTAGGAACACAAGGATGGGTGCCAGCTGACCGTACTTAATTCACACGCCCCGCTTGGCCCAGTCACTGTGCTCAGGAGATGGGGTGGCATCTTTTCCAGGCTCGTGTGTATACAGAGTCTGAGTGATGGGCCTGCCAGAACGAGACAGCGGCACCTCCCTCGACGGGTGTCGGCAGTAGAGCAGGAGGGAAGGGCTGCCGTGCCCAAAACCACAGCAGTGCCCTCTCACCTGTGGGTTCGGGGTCTGAGACCGTAGACCATTTTAAGACCCGCTCAGATAAGCTGAAGCCCCACCCCACCCATGGCCTCCTGTCAGCCCTCAGCAGTCCGTGTTCTGATCGGTGGAGGTTTGGGCTGGGCCCTGGGAGCTTCCCACAGGGCTCCATGCCTTTCCTCCCTCCAGCCCAGCAGGAGAGCGGCAGGGCAGAGTGGCCGAGAGTCCAGTGCTTTGGTCTCTTCTGAGCTCTGTCGTGCAAGCCTGGTGGAGTTCCTCCACCTCGCTTATCTTCCATTTCCCCCCTGTGAGGCGGAACCAGATCATCTCTAGACCCGTTGCCCATAAAATTCTGGGATTCTGAGTTTGATGTCGAGACTGACACTTGTGCACCTAGCCACCACCACATGCGTGCACGCGTGTGCATGCACACACACACACACACACACACCCCACCTCTTCTGTTGCCGTGCTCAGTTCATAGTAGGCCCCTACCCTTGACATGGGGCGGTGAACAGGGCCACTTGCATGGTATCAGGAGGATCCCCGTGGAGGACATCTCCACAGGCAGAGATACCCAGGCTCCTTGTTTACCCATGGAACCCAGAAGACCGGCAGCAACCACACCCTGGGGAGGAGATGAAGGGCGGGTAGCGGGCAGCTGTGCCTGCCCCCTTGTGACTCATCCCAAGGTGGGTTGGTTTGGCCCGCCCAGGCCCCAGGGAAGCCAGGGCTAAGGGGCGGGGTGGCCAGAAGAGGGCACAGGAGGCAAGGAGCAGTGGCCGTTCAAGGGGCATCGCTGCGACTCTTGGCTCCCTGCTTTGGCTCTGTTCCTGCGGAGCCTGATGCTCCTTCCTCAGATTGAAGCAGACGCTTCTTACAGTCATAACTCTACCAGCTCACGAGAGACTGCCTTCCTGGTTGCCTGGGAGGAGGAGGAGGAGTCAGCAAGAAGTGTGTGGTGCTGTTAATAAAACAATCAGCTTGGTCCGACCCATCTCTGGGTTATGGAAACCAGCTGCCTCATCCCCAGCTGAAAGAGATCTCGGGAATATCTCACGGTGGCTGCTCCAATCCCAGGATATCGATCTGAGCCTAGCTTTGCCCCAGAGGGTAGGCAGACTTGACCTGGGGTGTCACAAGACCATGGAAGCCCTGGAGAGGGAGTCCCTTACGGGGGCTGGGGTGGGGTGGGCTGGGGTGGGGTGGGGGGGCTTAGAAAGGCTGGCTGTTTAATCACACACACACACACCTGCTCTTTTGCTCACATATTCAGTAAGGCCTTACTCAGAAAGACCCTGCTGTAAACTCAGGGGAGTCATAGTCTTGGCTTCTAGTCTAGGTCCCTCAAAGTTCCTGATAGGAAACTAAAACCCAAATTCAGAGCATCGGCCCGTTCTAACCCATGGAAGAGGAAAGAGAGGCAACTTTAACAGCAGGAAAGGGGGCAGACTGAGCAGGTGGGAGGGAGCCTTGATGGAGCAAGATCACTTGACCTGGGCCTTGAAAGATAAGAAAAGGTTTCTCCAAGAGCAACGGTGAAGAGTGCTTGCAGCAACCGGCTGGCAGGAGACAGGCCCATCGCTATCAGCTCTCCTCCTGGCCCTTCCCTCTTCAAAGCCTGGATAAGCTCATGCCCACTAAGACACTAATGGCTGATAGAAACCTCCTGGGATTACCCTTCCAGGCATTTTCAATTTTAATTCCAATATAATTAGCATGCAATATTAGTTTCAGGTGCATCGTATAGTGATTCAACAACTCTTTACTTTGCTCTGTGCTCACCACAAATGAGCTCTTCATACCCTGCACCTATTTCACCCATCCCCCACCCCTCTCTCCTCTGGCAACCACTAGTTTGCTCTATTTAAGGGCCTGGTTTTTTTGTCTCTTTTTCTTTATTCCTTTGTTTCTTGAATCCCGCATATGAGTGAAATCATATGCTGTATATGTCTTTCTCTGACTGACATATTTCACTTTGCATTGTCCCCTAGGTCCATCCAAGTTGCAAACATTGAGATTGCATTCTTTTTTATGGCTGGGTAATATTCCATTATGTATGTATATACCACATCTTTTCTATTCCTTCATCTATGGATGGATACTTGAGTCGCTTCCATATCTTGGCTATCGTAAATAATGCTGCAATAAACCTAGGGTTGCACATATCTTTTTGAATTAGTGTTTTCATATTATTTGGGTAAATACCCAGTAGTGGGATTATTGGATCATATGCTAATTTTACTTGTTTAAGGAACCTCCATACCGTCTTCCACAGTGGTTGCACCAGTTTGCATTCCCCCCAACGGAGCACAAAGGGTTCCTATTTCTCCACAACTTCACCAATACTTGCTGTTCCTTACATTCTTGATTTTAGCCATTCTTCCAGGCATTTTTTTTTTTTTTTTGAGAGAGAAAGAGAGCGAGCATGCAAGCCAGGATGGGACAGAAGGAGAGAGAGAATCTTAAGCAGGCTCCACGTTCAGTGCAGAGCCTGATGCAGGACTCGATCCCACAACCCTGGGATCATGACCCAATCCAAAATCAAGAGTCTGACACCCAACCAACTGAGCCACCCAGGCTCCCCCTCCAGGTAATTTTTAAAATCAAAAAATTGTAGGTATAACTTATATACCATAAAATTCACCCTTTTGAAGTATACAATTCAGTGGCTTTTAGGATTTTCACAAGGTTGAATAACCATCACCACTAATTCCCAAATATTTTCAGAAACCCTAAACCCATTAGCACATGCTCCCCAATCCCGCATCCCTCAGCTTATGGCAACCACACACCTATTTTCTGCCTCCACAGATTTCCCTAATCTGGACACTTCATATAAATAGAATCATATAATATGTGGCCTTTTGTGACCGGTTTCTTCCATTTAACATCAGGTTTTTGAGATTCATCCATGTTGTAGCATACAGCAGCACTTCTTTGCTTTTCGTGACTACTATTCCATTGTATGGATAGAACATCTTTTGTGTATCCATTCATCAGTTTGGGTTGTTGGGTCATCTGAGGTGTTTCCCCATTTGGGCTATTAGGCACAATGCTGCTAGAATATTCATGAACACGTTTTTGGGTGGACATAGGTTTTTCATTCTCTTGGGTGTATACCTGGAAGTGTAGTTGCCTGGTCACATGGTAACTCTAGGTTTCATTTGTTGAGGAACTACCAGGCGGTGTTCTAAAGTGGGTGCGCCATTTTATATTCCCACCAGCAATGTACAGAGATTCCAATTTCTCCACATCTTCACCACTGTGTGTTATTGTCCATTTGACTATAGCCATCCAAGTGGGTGTGAAGTGGTATCTCATGGTGGTTTTGATTTTCATTTCCCCCAGTGACCTGCCAGGAAAATTTGCACTATAGGAGATGATGCTTCAGTCATCATCAGGCCAAGTTGACCAGGGTAGCTCCTGGGATGGTAGTAGAAGCCACCTTACTCTGAAGATTCAGATATTTGTTTGCTCATAACGAATATTTGTAAACACTTGTTAGGCACCCCGTTACATCTCAAGCACTATGCTGAACATTGGAGTTTGTTGTTGAAGACAGACATGGACCTTGTCCAGATGGAGCTTACATTCGGGTGAAGGAGCTGGTCACTTAATTATGTTAGAATAAGTACTAGACGTGCAAATGTACACAGCTAAGAGAAGGAGTGAGGGAGGAGCCTGGGAAGCCTCTCTGAGATGCTGATACTTTGAAAACCCTGGACAGGAAGACACCTGGCTTGGTAGAGGAGCTGGACTAAGCCAGTATAGTACGAATATACTCTAAGAGAGGGATAGGACACGAAGTGGGGGAGGCGGGGGGACTGGGGAAAGTATTCTGAGTGTAAATGGAAGCCATTGGAGGGTTTTGATTCGTGGCAGTGATTGACCGCTTTTACATATTTTAAAGATCACTTTGACAGCAATGAAGCAAAATGGTGAGAGATGAAGGCAAGAGTGAGGGCAGAAAGAGTGGTGAAGAGGCTGTGTTGTGGTCATCCGAGAGAGAGACCATGGAGGCCCGGGCTGGGGACCAGTGGGGACACATGGACAGAGCCTTGTGAGGAGGTAGAAAGGCAGCCTCAGTGATAGATGGGTGGGAATAATAAAGGACGGAAAGGTATTCAAGATGCCCTCCAGGTCTTAGGTTTGTGCTGCTCAGAGCAAGCCTGGGGGAGCAAGTGACTGGGCAGATGACCAGGAGCCCCACCTGGGGAGGCTGTGGACCCTCCCAATGGGGGCGGCCAGAGTCTCCGACCTGGAGTCCGTAGGTCATCTTCACTTCCCCAAACATGGGAGAACACAGTGAAGAAATACGGATATGCTGACAAGGGAGCGTAGACAAGCTGCCGTGGGAGTCCGTGTGTGCTGGAACAGCATGAATGTGCATCGTCAGTGTGGAAATCTTCCTGGCGTGAGCCTTCCCCACCAGCAGAGCTGGGCTGTGGGGACTTGGGAAGGCCCTGCCATCAGAGTGGGTGGCCTCAAGTTCCTTCTGAAGTGGAGAGGCCTGTGGTCATTCCCCCCCCTCAACCCCCTGTGACTGGCTCCCCCATTGCCCACCCTTTTTTGCCTTTCTGGGCCTTGGCCTAGTCCCCATGAGGACATGGTTCTGACAGCCCAGGCCGTGCATCCCAGCTGAGGCCCCATCTTGCTTCAAGAGTCATCCTCTGCCTCCCAAGGCCTCCACGAGCACAGACATGCATGTGGACAGCTGTGGTCCCCGCCACCATCCTCACGTCTGTCCGCTGCTCACTCAGCGCGGCAGTGGGCAGTCTTTGCCACCCACAACCGCAGAGGGAATCAAGACTCCTGCCTTAGCCAGCTCCCTCGAGAGGCCCCGGCCGGTGGTCCACACCGTGTTTGCATTCGTCTGCTGATGTCAAGCCTCGGTGCTGACGTGTTCTTCCACGAGGGACTGGCCGGCTGGTGAGAAGGCTCAACCAGGCGTCAGGAGCCCCGAGGCCTTGTCACAACACACACCGTGGCTCTGGACGGGCGTTCCCCTGCTCTTTTTCTTCACTCCTCCTTGTCAGTGTAACTGAAGGGCAGGGCAACCTCTGGTGTCCCCCAGAGCAACGGATTTTACAACTCGCAGGCAAGATCACCTCAGCTGTTTCTCTTCTCGGTCCTTTTCTTGGTTCCCTGGGTCTCCCTGACCCAGAGTGGGCAGAGACCAGCAGAGGCCTCCTGCCCCTGCCAGCACGCAGGTCCCAGCTGTTGGCAGGGGACCACCGCAGGGTTGGGGTTCAGGGATGCCAGAGCAGCAGCAGGCATGGTGTGGAGGGGAAGGTGGGAGCTGGCCCTGCCCGCTGAGTTTTATCAGCAAGCTCCTCAGACATATACAGAGGCAGAGCTGTGTATACACTCCCAGTCCCCGCGCTCCATCTGTCTCCCACATGTCTAAACACTGAGGGCGCCAAGTGCCTGCCCTCCTCCTCCTCCTCCTCCTCCTCCTCCTCTCAACCCCATCACCACGGAGAGGGGGTGGATAGGGACTCGGTACCCCTGAGGAGACAGGAGCACCTCAGGAGGCTGCTGCTGGATGGGAGTGAGAGACCCTCAGAGCCCCAGAGGCTGAGGGACTCCCCGATCTGGGTACACAGCCTCGGGAGTTAGCTTACAGATGAAAACATTTGGGGCAAGACTTTTCACTTGAAACCAGGTTTCTGGATGGCATCCCGTGGGTGAGCAGGACCTTAGTTATTTTCATGGATCAAATGAATCTGACCAATCAGATGTGCTGTGTGGGTCAGCAGCCTTAAAGCCCAGCCTCACTCTCACTAAGTTTTCACTTCCCACCCATCATACAGGCCTCTCTCAAGCCCACCTCCTGTCCAGCAACCTGACGTCCAGGATTTATAACCTGGGCAGTTGAGGCCTGGACGCTCCCTTCCAAGGCAACAGCTGACTGGGTGGGGGGGGACAGGGCTGCCTTGTGAGAGCAGATGCAATGAAAACCCTGGGGTGGGGGCTTATGCGATGGGCAGAGCAGCCTCTCTAGCATTCCTGGGAGGCTTGTCCCCTCTGGGACAAAGGAGGAAGACATAGAAGCTAGGATTCTCCTCCCATCTCTCTAGATCTTAGAGAATGAGTGTCCTAAAGGTGCCATTCCCTTCAAAGCCCAGCTCCCTTCCAGCCACCCTACCTCGAGAGCCCAAGCAGTGCAGACTGATAGAGATGTCTCCTTCCAGCACCTCTGTGACTTTGTTCCCTACAAAACACATGGTGTCTCATCCACCTGCAGTGGAGCCCCTAGAAAGGCAGGCAAGAAGTGGGCTCCTATTCCAGCAGAAGGAGCATTTTCTGCTAGTCTCTCATCCCTCCCCAAATACAGCAAATCTTCCTGGCCTTTGGAGGTCTGCCCAGAGCACGGGTGCACCACCAGCAGGGTGGTGCTGGGCAAAGGGTTAGAGCTCCTGGTGGCCTCCCCTTTGCCTTGTTGGTGACTGGGAGGGACCACCAGACCTTCCCTCTCCAGCTATTCCTGCAGTTCCTGATCTTCCAACTTTGAGATGAGCCATGAAGGGCCATGAAAGAGGTGGTGCCTGGGGCCCAGAGGTGGTCTCAGTGGGTCACTGGCACGTGTCTCTCATACCCCCAGTGAGTACCACTCTATCATCATGGTCGGGACATGCCCGGAAGTGCAACGAGACGGCCAAGTCCTATTGTGTCAATGGAGGCGTCTGCTACTACATCGAGGGCATCAACCAGCTCTCCTGCAAGTAAGTGACCAGTGGGGGTGGGCGTGGGGGCAAGACTAGGGTGAGAGACGCTGGGGCAGAAGTGGAGGGCTCTAGGAAAAATGGGCTTCAGGCCACTGACAGGGGGTCCCCAAGGGGTGTAGACAGGGAGGTTTGCCCCACTTCCCAGGCCTTTCCTAGAATATAGGGAGATGTAAACTCTGAAGGGCTCAGGGCTTCTGCAGTGCCAGGTTCTCAGGCCCCTACCCACCCCCTCTCCCAGTGTCCACCCTTTCACCACCACCTTTTAGGGAGATGGGGATGCCAGTCTATGCCCTAGGCACTGGGTTCTCTCTCCCCCTCCCCCTCCCTTTCTCTCTCTCCCCCTTCTCTCTGTACCACTCACCCCCCCCCCGCCCCATTTCTCAGCAACTCTCCAAACTGTGTTCTGATGAACATTTCCCATGGTGTGTCTTCCCCAGCAGTGAAGAGCCTGGCAGGGTCCGGCAAAGCACAATTCCCAGTGCCCTTGGTAGTGGAGGGTCTGCTCTCAGAGCCTTGAGGGGAGACGAGGACTCTGTGTCTGACGCTCACCTCAAGACCTGGCTACTCTCCCTGCCTGGTGTTCAGATACACCCTGGGTGCTGCTTCTGCCACTTCAGACCCTAGCCCCTCTCTATGGGGTGAGGGGACACCAGCAAAGACACCACTCTGTCTGTGGCCCAGACACAACCTGGGGAAGGTCAAGGTTAAGAAGAAGCTCAAGTTGGGGCTTCTCTACCCAGCAGGATTTTCATCCTACTCCCCTTAGCAAACAGGGCAGATGGGAGCACAGTAACCCAGGAGGGCTTGTTCAGGTCCAGCTGGGTCCTATTCAAGCAGTTGAGCCCACGGGACCCCTGACAGGTTCTCTGGTGGGTGTATGAGGAGCCGGAGGAAGAGCTTGGTGAGGGCAGTACAGTTCTGGCCAGATCCTGAGGAGGGGTAGGGGGCACTAGTTAACAACTTCGGCTTTTCAAAGCACCCCAAGCCTAGGACCCTGGCAAGGTGCCACAGTTGCCCCATTCCCATGGCATCTGGGCAAAAGCCACTAGAGTATTAGTAGAAATTCAGAGAGGCATTTGCCCTCCTCACAGACAAGGTCAGATTCAGCACCTCTCAGCTCTCCTGCCTCTGGGCTCCAGCTCCAGAGCTGCATCCCCCCACTGACTACAGCCTTAGCCAAAGACCCCGCCACCTCACACGGGGATAATGAGGGGCCGTGCCTCCTTGACACTCTCCCCTCTGTGCCAGGCTAGCTGAGCTAGACCCGGACTGCCAGGCAGATCTGTGCCTCTTCCCCCAGCGGGCCTCCTTTGCCGGCTTCCCCCCCAATCCCACCCTGCACCTGCGGCCATCCCCTTACTGTCCTCCCCCATCCTGACTTTGCAGCCACAGCAAGTCCCCCAGGGAAATTCTCAGCCTGGACTCGGCCCCCTCATCTTTCCCTCCTTCTGCCCCTAGGAGGCTGCCACAGTAGTGCTAGAGACCGTGTGGAACATTCTAGACTTGAAAATGGTCTGAGCTCTCTGCAATACATCTACAGAAACTCATAAGCGTTCTGGAGTACCCCACAGACATGGCCCGGCCCTGCAGGCCCCTCTTTTTTTAATCCCCAAACACACACACACACACACACACAAACACGTACACACCGCACCTCCCTAGCCCCTTGGACCCTGGAACCTTGAAGGAATCCAGCAGCATTAAGGAGATCAGCCCTGGCTCCAGGCAGGGAAGTTTTCAGCCACCCAGGACAGGTACCAGGGCCACAGAGGGCCATGGGATTGCAGGGCTCCAGTGCTAGCATTTAGCGTGGAAAGTGGTGTGATGAGCTTGTGAGATTCCAAAGGGTCCTGCCAGCAAGGCTGTAGCCCTAGGACCTTCTGAGTCACCCCCAGCTAAATCTGAGAGTAGCAGAGGGCAGGAGCCTAAATCATTATGAAGATGGTGTCCTGTGCCCCTCCTCACCAGGGCAACTGGGATTCCCTGCTTAGAACTTGACCTTGGTACCCAGAAGCACCACCTCCCCATTTCAACCTGCCCTAGGTCAGCCCTAGCCAGGGCTCCTGGAACCAACTTCCCTGACTCCCTGAGCCCTCAGGGGAGATCGCTTTCAGGAGGGCAAGTCCTCAGAGCTGTGCTGGAGAAGGACAGGGGGGTGGGGGGCAGGGCAGAACCCAGAGGCCATTCTGGGGGTGGGTGAGCTGGGAGGGAAGTGGGGGGCAGGCCTCTTGGGATTCCTGATGACACCTGAATGGAATAAAAAGGAAAGAATATAGGAAACAGAACTCACGTCTTACCATTTGTGCTGTTTGTTTACTTTTTATTTTGATTTTTTTGCATTTCCGCTTAGCTTGGATAATGAAACTAGACTGGTCAGTTTCATTCCAGTTTCTATAAAACTCAGTTTTCCTTCCTGGTTTTCTGACACTTGTTGTTGTGTATTGGTTCAGAGCCCTGCAGGGAGTGTTGGAAAGCAGGCACACTCCGTCCCTGTTTTTCTGGAATTCAGAGCCAAAAGAAACAGTGTCACTGATACTGAATTTTGTTTTAAAGAAAGAAAACTTAGGGGGATTTGAAAATGGGGGTCCAAATCAAGGTGACTGTCTCCTGTCTGGGCCAGACAGGGACCTCTGCACTTCTTCTCGCTGCTTTCTCCTCTTCTCTCCGTGTTTTTGTAGAGCACGGTTGGTGCGTGACTCTTGGGGACTGGTTCAGGGGATGATGACAGAACAAGACTCTCTTTCCAGCCCTGTGCACATACCAGCGGCATGCCTCCCTTTCCCATCAAGCTCATCCCTCCCCCTCTTCTGCTCCCCCTGTCCCTCCCCATGTTCAGGTGGTTCCCCCATCCCATACCCATCTGCCTGCTCATCCTCTCCACATCTCCACCCCACCCCTCATGAGGCCAGAGACCCTTCACCCCCTCCAGTGCCCCGGGGCACACCCTCATCCTTCATCCTCCCCCTCCCTCGGGTGAGGGCAGCACACATGGCATTATCCCCAGGCTACCAAAAGGAGAAACTGAGGCCCGGGAGGTGGGTGGGAAAACGGGGAGGCAGAGTTGCAACCTCTCTGTCACCCCAGATACAGCCCATGGGCTCTCCTCTCTGCCCCCGTCTCACCCTGCTCTTCTCCAGCCCTGGGCACAGATCTTCCCATAGTCCTAGCTCATGATGTGGGGGAGGGCTGAGAAAGCTATGACCTGCCACTCCTTTTAAGCTGTCCCCTGTGCTGCTGAAACTCAGAGCGCCAATCCCTCTTTCAGTGGGAACCCACTACCGGCCAGCCATCCACACTGAGTCAGACCCCACTCGTGGTGGACGGGTTTGTGTAGCCCGTACCCTGTTACATGGTCCTGAGTGCAGGGTAGCAAAGCTGTAGGCCCACTCCCAGAATCTTCTCTAGGGAAGCCTCAGGCTCCCGGATGTGGCTCATTTTCAACAAGCAGGGATAAGGAGAGCCCAGGAGCCTCCTGGAAGGATCTAATGCCCAAAGAACAGTATGGGGAGCCAGTCCCCAAGCCCTGTGCTATGCCCATCCCCCATTGCCTTTTCTTTTATTCAGCCAGTGGGGAACACATGTCCCAGGGCAGGAAGATTAGGACCGTGTTACATAACTCCAGGGGGGCACATTCACGTTATAGACCGTGTCCGTGGTGCCACCTGGGGTTGTACAACTCAGTAGTCATGAAAGATCTGAGGAGGCAGTTGGGGCAGTCCAGGCTGGGTGTGGGATCAGGGACTCAGGGATGTGCTTAGTTATCATCAGTCTCCCAAGAGACTCCCAAGAGTCTCCCTTGACTATCAGCAAAGAGATAAATTTTCCCTTTGCCCCTCCTGCCCCTGCACTACCCCATTCTCTCTCTTAAACACAAATACACACACACACACACACACACACACACACACACACACGAGCTGGGCTAATCTTAGACATTGGACACTGTCAAATGTATCTCTTTCTTATTCCTTTGAGGATTCCAAGAATCATTTTGGCAATTTCCTGGGTCTTTATCCTCCACCCCCAAAGGTGCTGCTGCTTTATTCTCCCCTCTAGTCCCCACCCCAAGTGGATATCAGTCTCTGAGAGCTGAGAAAGGAGAGCTGAGCCTGACTGGAGCTGGTTGGAAAGCCTTAGGCCCTACTTCCATTTTCCTGGGACGGGACGCTTAGGTCAGAGAAGGATATATTAAGGGTTAGCAGCCGCTGCCTCCTCCTCCTCCTCCTCTCCCTCCTCCCGGGAGCCACCCTGTTCAACAGGATGAACGTGCATCAGTTTCCCTTGTAACCACTCCCCCTCCACTTTCTTCAGACACACTTCCCAGTCCTCCACCCCTACCCACTGGCTAGGCATACCTCCGCACACTGCCAACACTGCAGGGACCAGCCTCCTGCCTCCCCTGAGGGAGATGCCATCAAGGCCCAGAGAAACTCCAGCTGTCTGCTCACCAGCCACTCCCCACCCCCCAGCTAGATTGGAGTCAACAGGATTTCCCCGAGGGTCTATCATAGCCAATGGGAGCCACCCCCTATAAGCTCAAGAGGTCGCTGATGGTTGGTTTACACGAGAATGCTAAGAGGTAGAGTACTCTCACCTCTTGAGAAGGTTTACTGATTAATGTTGCACAGTGATCTATTATCGAGGAAACATCTGTGATGGGGTTACCTAATTTCCCCAAGAAAAAGAGGCAGAAGCAGCCAAAACCCATCTTCGAGTAGGGGAATGGGGGTGGTGGTGGTCAGTCTGGCCCTGTCTTTAAGCTTCCCTTAGGTATCTGGCCTTGCTGGGTTCAGAGGAGAGTACAGGGCAGGGCAGGTCTCCCAGAAGTCTGCAAGACAGGGACTGCCTTGAGAGGAGAGGGGCAGCCAGAGAGCAGAAGAAAGTGTACCTGGGGGTAAGGACAAGGTCAGGGAGAGTGGGTGGTGCTCTGTAGCTACAGAGGAGACAACATGGGAGAATGCGGTCCCACCAGAGCCAGGCAGTGACGGAGGAGCAGGTCATGGGGAAAAGACAGGCGTCCAGGCAGCCAGTAGACCCCTAACTGGAAGAAGCTTCAGGGTTCTCAGGGAGCCTGCTTTAGCCCTCCCCATCCCCGATTGTGGTTCTTGCCACCTGAGGGTAGATAGCCTGCACCTGGCCTTGGCAGGCCAGCTGTGAGACGTTGGTAATTCCGGCTCCTCCCCAGCCTCACCTTGTTCCCCACTAAGCCTTTTCCCCCCCCGTGTATTGCTCTAGGGCAGCCTTCCCCAAACCATGTTAACAAGGGTTCCTCAAAAAACGTCTTCCTTGGTCAAATAAATTGGGAACCTACTGGAATATTCAAGCTCTTTCCTCCTACAAAACTTTTCCTAGCCTTTCATATGCCAGCGTGCACTGCAACTCTCTAAGGAAGTCTGGGAACGGATTTCCTAAATTTATTTGGCCACAGAACCCTCTTTGAGAGAACAGATGAAACACCTCCAAGGTCACCTTTGTCATGGGCACACAGTCTGGGAACAGCATTCCGGAGTTCTCCTTTGAGCTTTCTGGGGGCTGTTTCATGGATGAGAAAACCTGCCCAGGGCCCTGGAGAGAACCCTTTGGTAGGGCCTGGAAGGAATGGCTTCCCAGAACTTGGTATTCTGGAAGGCTCCCGGCATCCTACCTGACTGCCTGGCACCAGGGGCTACCTTTCTGGCTTCATGGGACCCCAGGCAGGTCAGAAGGGAAGTCTCCACACCCGCAGGACAATTGGGCATTAGGTTCCCAATTTCCCCACCCGCTTCCCTCAGTCATCCTCCTCTCCGCCCCACCCCTGCCCCCCACCACCCACGGAGCAACACCGGATAGAGAGATTTTGAAGATTTCTGAGCCCTCCCCCCAGCCCTGACTCCAGCCCCTGCAGCTACGAGTGTGCCCCAGCGCCCGACTTGGTTTTCTCATTCATCACTGTGCACTTTGATTTCTAACCTGAGCCTCGCGGATGATGCCAGTTTGTTCTGTGATTTTTCCCCTTTTCCTTCTCCAGATGTCCAAACGGATTCTTCGGACAGAGATGTTTGGAGAAACTGCCTTTGCGATTGTACATGCCAGATCCTAAGCAAAGTATGTTTGAAGATACAAACACAAGTCCCTGCTCCTTAGAAAGCTTCCGGGTGCAGTCCCCCCAATGTAGGGCATAGGGCCAGGGGTGTTGGTTGTTTTGATCTTTGGCTGTTTTGTTTTGTTTCTCTTTTCTTTTTTTTGTATTTTGGTTTGTTCTTTTGTTTTGCTTTGTTTTTCATTTTTTGGCCTAATCCTTGGGTTTAAAGTTCAGGGCTGCAGGTAAGGGGCAGAGTGGCAAGGCCAGTACAAGCGGTAACGGTGGCAAGGAACCCAGCTGGCATCGGCAGGAGCCCGTGCCGGGGTGTTGCAATGCCTGTGTCTTGCTATCCTGGCTCTCTCTTTCTGGTTTTCTTTCTTTTGGTAGGTGCCCTGTGGGATACACCGGGGACAGGTGTCAGCAGTTCGCAATGGTCAACTTCTCCAGTATGTCTCTTTCTTCTATTTCTTTTCCTCCCTGGTGACTGACAATCTCCCCACGCGAGAGGGACCGGGCCTTGCCTAGAGAGACTAGAGGGAGCCGAGGGGGAAGGGAGGGGGGTAGGGAGTGGTAGTGTCCTGGGCTCTTCTCAGTCGTCAGTGCTAACTAGAAGGCTGTTCGGAGGAGACGGATTTGCCCCCCTGCCACCCCCCACCCCGTCCCGACTCGTGGCTGGGCACTGTAACAGCCCCGGATTCTCTCTGCAAGCGTGGGGGGCTGCGCCCAGGCCTCCGCACCCCTTCCGAGAGCGGACAGCCTGGCCAGCAATGGGAGAAGCGTGAGCGGGGCCCTCGCCTGCCTTTTAAAGCCTGTTGAGGCTGTCAGGTGCTGATGGGGCCAGGCAATGAGTGTATGCACGTGTGTGCTGGTGCGTTTGCGAGAGACAAACAGGTTCTCAGCCCGTCTTTGGGTCTGGCCAGAGTTTGTTTTATTTGACTTGGGGCGATGGGGGAGAGTGGGGAAGGGGATGCTGAGGGAGAACAAGCCCCAGGGCACTGGTTTCCACAGAGGCCAGAGGCCAGAGACATTTGTGCGGCTCAAGGATAGGGTGGGATGGGGGTTTGCTGCCTACTAAAAGAGGAAATGAGGATTCAAGGGATGATTGGTGATTCTCTCCAGGCCCTCTCTGGTCTGAGTCCCCATCCAGGACTCCATTCCCTTCCTTTCTTCCACTTGTGAGGCTGGAGCTTTCTGGTTTGCCTAGTTAGCTGGGGGGAAAAAAAAAAATGTGAGCCCTGCAGCAGAAAGATGAGACCCTAATTATAGAGTGTTTTATTTGAGGCTGGGAACAATTTCTTCAAGCATCACCAGGTGGAGGCATAGCAGAGCAAAAAGCCCCCGGCCAGCTATGGACTCCATCTGGGGCCCACCAGTCTCTTGGCCTGCAAGGCAGGACACTGTCACCCATCCTTCAGAACATACTAGGCCCTTGCTCAGCCCACCCCACCTCCTCCTCTCCTAGGACAGCTGTGTCCCATGAAGAATTAGGAACCAAAGTGATGGTGCCTGGGTGAGAGGCAGAGCTCCAGGAGAGGCCTAGAGCAGGACCCAGAGGGTCATTTAGGTAGCCCTTTGGAGAAAAGTGGTTTTTGACTTTGGGTTTCAGGGTAGAGAAACAAGTCTACCCAGTCCTCCTTAGACCACAGCACAAAAGCCTAGAAATCATCACCTCCTTCTCCCTGCTAGAGCTTGGAAGCCATGACTTAAAGAGGAAAGTAGAGGCCGCAGGGAGGTGGGGGCTGGTCAGCCCAGACGGTCAACTGTCTTCACAGTGTGTGGGAGGCAGCACTCCCCCCAGGCCCCTCCGGCTGAAGGCCAGGGAGGAAGGCTATGGGGATAAGAGGAGAGCTGTGGGCAGGGCATGTGGTCCAGAATTCTCCAGAGCCCGGGCTCCAGGAAGAATTGCAGAGTCAGACCCAGCCCCACCTATGGAAGACCATAGGTCAGGAGGGGCCTCAGGAGGGAACAGAGCAGCCAGGCCAAGGCTAAGGACCAGGGGAAAGAGGCAACGGAGGACCTATTCCTATTCACCCTTAGGTCCAGAGCCTCCCTGGCTTACGGGACTGTTCTGGACAGGGAGTCCCAGCCCGTCCCGAATCAGAGGAGCAGAGCCTCCAGAACTTGGCCATTGGCCAAGCTTCTCTGCCAGCTGGTCCGCTTCAGCTTTCAGCTCAGAGCTGCTTGAAGGGTCAGCAGGGCCTCAGGAGCCCAGAAAAAGTCTAGAAATGCTGCCACAGGCCTTTCTGCCTAGTGTCATCAGGATCATTGCTGTTACCTTTGCATGAAGGATTTCTAGTCTTCAAGCACTTTGCCCAGAGCACTTACGGCACTTATGGCATCAGATAATTATTGAAAAGGTAGCAGAAAATGCTACCTTTAAGTGTTCAGGCTTTGGATTCAGATAGATCTGAATAAAAATGCCAGCTGCTGAGCTCACTAGTTCTGGGGCCTCATTTAACCTCTCCGAGTTTGTTTTCTCATCTCTAAAATGGGGGTAGTAACATTTACACCTCGAGGGTTGCCGTTGAGGATGGGAGTGCAGTGCTCCCTACGAAGGCTTAGCAGAGAGCCGGCCGCTGTTGATGGAGAGCAGCTGAGTACCTCTTGCGGCTACAGCTGGTATGGGGTAGGAGGCAGGAGGTCCCCCACCAGTACCCTGGTGGCTGACTCCCAGCCAGCCCTGAGCAAGGGGTCTGACTTTCTCCCTCTGCCCAGACAGCCTCTAGACCAGATTACCTTTTGCAGAGTCCATGGAAACAGAGCCTATGGCCACAATTGCATTCCTTCTTCCCCTGACAGCCACTCCATTTCCTGAGAGTCAAAACCTGCACATCGGTATACCCCCCAAGTGAAAGAACACACACATGTACCTACATACACACACACACACACACGTAAGCACCTACTGACCGTGCTCAAACACACAAGCACACGCCTGCACTCACACACACAAACACATGAGCACGTGCTCTCATCAGGGGCCCGTGTCCTGGCCTCCCCGGCCAGGCCTCTGTAACTGTGTGTCATAAGATGTGTCCAGGATGAAGACTTTGTGTATCATCTGGTAAACCTGGCCCTGCTGGGAGTCCAGCATCGGGCTGCCATGGTTACTGGTCAATATGCAAATGTCTGCCCAGTAGGACCTGTGACTCAATGGTGCCACTCTGTCCTGGCTGAGTGGCAGCCTATGAACATGATGACTGGGGGGCATCTTTGACAGGGGCAGACATAGCCACCGTCCCTTCAGAATCCATCCCCTGTGAGAGGAAAGCAGGGCTGCCTTCCCAGCAGTGACATCACCAGTCCTGTCAGCCACCGCTGACCCACCCAAAACCGTACTGGCCTTCAACTGAAAGAGGAGGTCAGTTAGGAGGCCCAGAAGCTGCTGCCGCCGCTATTACTTGGTTCCCAGAGCAGGGAAGCAGAAGAAAACTCGTCAAAGGCTTTGGGACCCAGCTCGCTACTCCAGGTGGTCAGTTCTCATGACTAAACCAGTCAGGCCCAGAGACTCAATCAGCAGGAACAGAAAAGGACTTCCAGCTGATGGCCCCCATGCTCTCCTTCCCCTACAGGAGACGAGAACATCAGAACACAAGTTCACCCCCTCCCCGGATGTCATGGCGCTGACTGTGCATGTGGGGAGGCCACGGACTGGGCCCCTTCATACACACTGAGCCTCCCACTGTCCAGGCCTCTCATGTCTTCCTCTCACTGCATATAGACACTTTTGACAGATGAGGAAACAGAGACTAGACTTGCCCACGTGCACACAGCAAATTAGGGACAAAACTGAAACTCAGAGCCTGCTGACAGGCGCTGGCTACAGTAGAATGGTAGGTGAGCTTTTCAGAAACACTGTTGAGATTTCTGGGCTGCCACCCCACAGCCTGATCCCATCGGTCTGGATGATTCTGAGGTACGGCCAGGTAGCAGAGTTCCCAGAGCTCCAATGTGAACAGAGAAGACTCTAAGAGGTGGATAGGCCTGGTACACTTGGAGACACAGTGGGTCTGGGGCAGGGCTGACCCTTGGGCCCTTTGATCTCGATGGCGTGGGCGCCCACCTCACAGGGCTCTGAAAGCGCACCTGTACAACACGATCGACTTCAGAGTGCGACTGGCTCACCGTCTGACACGCGTGTTCCACAGGTGAACCCACCTGTCTCTTCCTAGAAGTTGCAGTTTGCTTTTCTAAGTGGTGAAATCAGGACCCGACCCCAAGGCCTAGGCCCTGTAGGCATCTAAGGTGTTGGAAGTGTCAAGATGTGGCAAGTGACCTGCTGGCTGGAGCCTCCTCCTGTCCCCACAAACTCAGGAGTCTTCATGCCCAGGCTCCCAGGAGACGGGCCTTTGGAGGCAGGACAGGGACAAGGACCAGTCTGAGCACCCCATGCCCTCGTTCTGAACAGAAAAAAGGGCCCGGTGAACGAGCTCAGGGCCGAGCAGGCGGTCTCCAGGAGGGGCGTGGGAGTGTGGAAGGCCTGGCCCTGGAGCTGGGGGCAGGGGGAAACAGGACTCCTCAGACCCCCACCCCCACTCACCTTTCCTCCCTGGGGACATCTGCCGACTGACTCTTGCGCCTCCGCCTCCCCATCAGGTACTAACCCCACAGCTCATCTCTAAAGAACCTGCCCTGCCTGCTGATCCTAACATTTCCTCTTTCCACCCCCCTCAGGGCTCCTGGGGACTGGGTGCCAGGGCAGGGGTTCAAGAGGCCGGGAGGGGACACCACTAACCTGCTTTCACCTCACAGGCTGGCTGCTGGTGTCTGAAGAATCCTGACCAACGTTTCTCTCTCTCTCTCTCTCTCTCTCTCTCTCTCTCTCTCTCTCTCTCCTGCCCTCCCCACTCCCCAATCTCTCTCTGTATCTCTCCCTCCATCCCCTCCCCTCTCTGACCCTGCTCTCTTCTGCACTGCCAGAGCATCTTGGATTTGAACTAAAGGGTACGAAGCTCTATGTGTCAGTCAGTGCCATCCACCCCAGCCCTCTCCACAACCTCTGACACCATGTGTGCTGGTTTCCTTTCCAAAAAACGGAAAAGGGATGATTCCAAAAATCTCCCCTGGCCCTCCCAAGATGTCCCATCATAAACTACGTTGATTTGGGGGAGACAAGAGAAGGGCAGAATAGGTGCCCCCAGTGTACAGCGGGGCCCCCTCGCCTGAGGCCTCACTGGGGGAGGAGCTTCCCAAGCTGATGCCCAAAGGGTTGGCCAGACAAGAGACAGGCCCCTGGAGAGCTGGTGTCTGGAAGCCATGAAATCCTGGCTTGGAGAGTTGTGCAGAGAGGCACCCTCTTTAATTTGACTTTAATTCTCCTTCCTTTTCCCACTTCCATCTCCACTGCTTTTCATTCTGCACCACGCTGGCAGCTAATAATGCCCATTTGTCTCTGCCCCCTGCCCCGTGTCTGTCTGCCAGGCTTTGCCATCTGCTTGAGGCTGTCATTCCCTTCATGATCCGTCTCCACAATGGTATGCGTGTTCGCCTGTGGGCCAGACGAGCAAGGGTCAAGGGTGAGCCGGCCTCCGGTGCTCACCCTCCTGCCCCCCCCCCCCCCAGCTCAGAACCTTACCTCCCTCCCACTTCTTCCCTCTGGCCCCTGGGAGACACAATGAATGGAAAGGGACTTGGAGGCAGCGTTCTGTCCTCTCTCTGAGCTGGGAGGCTCCACCCAGGCTTAAATGGAGAGATGCAGGGACTCGGAGGGGTCAAGGCTTCGATGGGGTCAGACCTCAGAGGCGGTGCAGAGCCTGCAGTTCTGAAAAGGCTGTTCTTGAGGCAGGTCTGGAGAGGCCCCGCTTCCCTCACCACCCAGCCCCTATCAGCTCTCCTCAGAAGATAGAGCTAAAAGCCTGTGGAAGCGTGTGTGTCTATGTGCTGCTGGTGATGGGACGGGAGGAGAGGGGTGAGTCTGCGTGTGACGGTGCACGACACGAACCTGCAGGGGTGTGTGTGTTGTTGGGGGGGGGGGACGTCACACACCTTGTTAGGTCTCTCTGTGCAGGATGTGAGTGCACAGAGGCACACAGCAGGGCGTCTTTGTGTTAAGGGCTGAGTGCTGTGCAGGTGGAACTGGGAGGGTGCGGAGGTGAGTGGGCGCGTGTGCGAATAAATGCCTGTGTCTGTAATGGCGGTCTGTATGTCCATTCGTGCACCAACTCGACAGACATCTACTGAACCCCAGAATTTGCCAACTCTGGCGATCTGGCATGCAGAGTCCCTGCCTTCCTGGCACTCAAATTCACAGTATGAGACACGCAACAAACAGGAAAGATAGCAGGTGGTGGTAAGTGCCCTACTGAAAATAAAAGAAGGTGATGGCAGGGTGCCAAGCTGGAGACAGAGTTACTTTGGCTAAGTGGCCAGGAAAGGCTGATGCGATGAGGTAGCATCTGCACTAAAACCTGATAAAAAGTAGCCAGCCCTGCAAACAACTGGAGGAGGGTGTTGGAGGCAAGTTAGGGAGGGTGTGGTTGGAGTGGGCTTGCCTTGCTCAGTGGACAGAAGGACTGCCAGCGACTTTGGTCACAGAAGACATGGGGACTGAACCAATGACGAGATATAAAAGGAGGGCTGAGATGGTAACCCAGGCCTCCTAGGCCATGGCAGGTCTTTGGGTTGTATTCGAATCGCAGGGGGCGGCCATTGTGAGTTTGAAGCCAAGGAGTAAACGATCTGCAGGCTTGGGGGCAGAGAATAGACTGGGTTGGGAGACAGGCTGGGGAGCAGTGGAAGCAAGGAAGCCTGTCAGAAGGTGACCTGCTATCCAGGTGAGAGATGACACCATCCTGGACTGAGCTAGAAGCAGTGGAAGTGGCCAAACCCAGAATCTACTTGGGAGGCAGAGCTGAGAAGACTTGCTGAAGGACTAGGTATCAGAGCAGGCGGGGAGAAAGGAGTCATCAGCAGTGATGCCAAGTTCAGGGCCTGAGCAGTAGGGGAGGTGGTGCGACCACTGACGACATGGGAAGGGCCAGGAGCAGGTATGGAAAGAGGCTGGGGAATCAGCACTTCTGTTTGGCCGTGGCCCTTGGGTAGAGCAGTCTGGAGCTCAGGCAGAAGTCAGAGCAGGAGATACAAATCTGAGAGTCCCCTGCATACAGATGGTATTTAAAGTCTGAGCTGGGTGAGATCATGAGGGGAGAGAGGGCACGTGGAGGAAGGAAAGAAGCCTGAGAGCTCTGGGCCCTTCTACTTTGCAGGCCACATAGAAGAGTAGGAAGCAGCAACTGAGCAGGTCAGCCAGTGAAAGAGGGTGACACCCAGGAAAGAAGAGCCATCCAGGGGGAGTGGGCGCAACAGGGGGAGTGAGCCGAGAGGGAAGCAAATGACCACAGGACTTGGAAGTGGGTAGTTGTTGGTGACCATGACCAGAGTGGTCTCCGAGGAATGACAGAGACAGATGCCCCACTGGAGAGGACTGGGAGTGGGCAGGGATGAGAACCAGAAGCAGGATATGGACCACAGAGCCCAGAGATGGGGGGCCAGGGTGGAGGGTTAAGACTGCATGAGTGTGTGTGTGTGTGTGTGTGTGTGTGTGCGCGCGCACACACACACTTCTCTAGACACGTATGAGTGTATCTTTGTGAAGGGATCTGTGTGCAGATAGCCAGAGCCCTAAAGGTATGTGTGTCTAGAGGGTTTGTACTCGTAGTTTTTGCTAGTTGGTGTACACAGGAGGGGCTGCAAGTCCAAGGACTTCAGGACATTTCCCAGGGCTCTACCACGGTGCTGGGGTCTAGCCTCCACCTATCCCTGTGCTGGGGGGAGGGGGCCATGTGGAGGAGCCAGCTGGCAGGTACAGGTGGGGGCAGGGGATGCCTAGGCTGCTGCTGTCACCTTTTTCCTTTTCTTCCTCCTGGTTTTCTCTGCTCTGGACGGGCAAGAGTTGCCCCACCAAGAAGTAGGAGGTGGAAGGGATGGCTGGTTCTTTTTGAGACCCAGCCTAGCTCAACCCCTCAGAAAGGGTGGCGGCTGCTCCTTGAGCACAAGAACTTTCCTAGGCACCAAGGGCTATGCTGCCATTCGTGGGTTTCTCGAAAGCAAAGGGAAGGGCTGGTATGGGCCAGGGCCACATGCTATCCAGGGTGCAGGAACAAATCAAGGCCTTTTTCTCTATGCCCTCCTCCATGGGCCTGGTCTGCTCTGTCCCTGCTCCTGGCGTCCCTCCTAAGTCCAGCCTCTGGGTCCGATGTCCTGTCTGACGTCCTTGCCTTTCTTAGCAAAGCAGAAATGGCAAGCCAGCTCTGCCGAGAGTCTACATGTTCACTGCCATGAAGAACAGCTCTCCCCAACCCATCCAGGCTCTTTGAAGCCATCAGGCCATAGTGGAGCAGGGCAAGGTTGCTGGCCAAGCCGGGCTGCCCTCGCCTGTGGCCTTTGGAATTTCACCTCCATCCCACCCACCCCCACCCCCTGCATTTTCCATTCATGTGCTCTGGGCAGGGTGTAGGGTTTGGGAAGGTGAATTCAGTCACTTGTGAGCAGATCACATGTGGGAGGATTTAGGGGCAACAGAAAGCAATCCAGAAGGGAGGGACTAGCTGGGGAAGGAGGAGATGCAAAGGAGCTGGGAGGCCCTGAGCTGGAGGGAGCCCAAAGCTTTGGGGGCAGGTGGGGGTGGGTTCTTTGCACCACTTTCCCCTTGGATCTGCCTCCTGCCCTGCCCCCTCACATCCTCTTCTTCTGCCTCTGCAGAAGCCGAGGAGCTGTACCAGAAGAGGGTCCTGACTATCACCGGTATCTGCGTGGCTCTGCTGGTCGTGGGCATTGTCTGCGTGGTCGCCTACTGCAAGACTAAGTGAGTGTCAGACACTCAGGCCTGCAGTAGGCCAACTAGGGATGGGCCTCCAGGACTGCTTTTGTGAAAACAGTCTCTCTCCACCCCCCGCCCTCCCACACACACCCTCCCCATGTCTGGCCTGGCCACCCCCTTATGCCCCAACAGCCCCTTCAGGGGCCTCTGCAGCTGGTGTGGAGAGGAAGGGCTGGGCCAAGAAGCAGGAGCAGAGGGTAGGAGGGACAGGCCCCAGAGGAATGAACAAGAATTGTTGTGAGCACGAGTGTTGGAAGAAGACAGATCTGGGTTTGAATTCAGCTCTCCCATTTACCATGACCCTGAGTAAACTGACGGATCTCTCGGAGTCCTCATCTGGAAAGCGGGAGTGATCCTAGTTTGTACCTCAGACGACACTGTGAAGGGGCATCTGCCTTATCAAGTAGGCTGGTGCTGGAGCAGTGTTGGGAGTGAGGAAGCACAGAAAAGAAGGCTGCATTCCCAGTGGAGAAAGAGACCTTGGGACATACTGCCTCGTCTCACTTGGGAGCGGGCCAGGCCAGAGCCCAGAGAAGATGAGGCCGGGTCACTTCTGGGCAGAGGAAAGATGGGGCAGAACTTTAGAGCAAGGGGAAGAAAGGTGCAGAAAGGGTGCTGCCAGTTCCTGTACAAGAGTGCAGGCTGACAGACAAATGTGGGAAAGGGTCAGCTGTGTTCCTAGAGCACGAGCAGCCCAGACTAGTTGGAGTAATTCTGGGGTCAAGGAAAAGGCATGAGTCTAAAAAGACAGCTGGAACCTAGATAGTACCATAGGGCATTGAATCCCAAGCTAGGAAGCCTGGGTTTATTCTATAAATGATAGGGAGCCAATGAAGGTTGTAGAGTGATGTAGTACAGAGAAAATGATAGGTTTATCCCATCCATTCTTATCCAGAAAGCAAGGTCTGGGCATAGCCACCATTTAGTGTACTGAGTCCCGTGGTCTTGACCCCTGCTACGCCAATCTATAGGATCTAAGGCCCTGCCGGCCTTGGGATTTGGGGCTCAAGGATCCCCGAGGAGACTGGGCCCAGGTAGGAAAAATGAGGTCAAGAACTAGTGGAAAAGCAAGCCCCTGTTCTAACCTCATTCATTTCTTCAGCAAACTTTCATTCACTGCCTGCTAGATACCAGGCCCTGCACCAGGCCCATGGCCAGTGCTCTAAGCAAGATGTCCAGTGTGATAAGATACATTGCAGGGGTGCCTAACTTTGGCTGGAAGGCAAGAAGGGTTTCTCTGAGGAAGCAGCATTTAGGCTGAGCCTAAGAGAAGAGCAGGAGTTAGCAGGTGAAGAAGAGGCAGAGAGTGTGCTCCATTGGGATGTAACAGTATGTGCAGAGGTCCAAAGGGTAGAGAGGGCAGCATGGTGGGGGATCAGAAATAAGCCCCCCAAGGATACAGCAAGCTAGGGCAGTGAGAGGGCACTGAGAGAGGGCCAGCGATGGGTTTTGTTGTTTTTGGTTTTTAATGTTTATTTTTGAGAGAGAGCATGAGCATGAGCAGGGGAGCACAGAGGCTCTGAAGCAGGCTTTGTGCTGACAGCAGAGAGCCCAATGCAGGATCTGAACTCACGAACCATGAGATCATGACCTGAGCCCAAGTCGGACGCTTAACCGACTGAGCCGCCCAGGCACCCCCAATGAAGGGTTTTAAATGGGAGTGACATGATTAGACTTGTTGATTACAGAACAAATGTGTTGGGCACTTATATGGCCAATGTAAAGTAGTCCCACAGGCCCCTGACCATAGCACCATGTTTTATTTTTCTCATTGCATTTTACTGAAAGTATCTTGTTTATTAATTTGTTTATGTGTTTATTATCTGCCTCCCCTACTGGCCTGCCAGCCCCACGAGGGTAGGGATTGTGTCTGTCTCCTTCACTGTTCCAAAACAGCATCTGGCACATAGCAAAAACCCAAGAAAGAGCAAATGAATGAATGAATGGGTGGGTGGGTGGGTGGGCCAGTGCCTGAATATTTTATCTGCTCTTAATTCTCAGGTGACTTTGGGATGGGTACATGGTCACCCCACTTTAAGATGAGGAAAGTGAACCATGGAGAGTTTAAGTAACTGGCCCAGGATTACATAGCTAGGATGTAGTAGAGCCAAAGCTCTCTCAGCAGAGCCAAAGCTCAGAACCACTATGCTCAGGTCCTGCTGAATTCAAGCTCCTGGTGATAGTGGAGGAGGCAGACCAGCAGGGGGTCCTGGCTGAGAGCAGGCTGAGCACAGGGAACAGCGGTAGCAGGAGACTGCCCCGGCATCCAGGGCAGAGGTAGAAGAGTTCCCCTGGAGGGACAGCTAGGGAATTTCATACATTGTATGGGGTGGGGGTGGGGGTGGCTAACACACCCTTCTCCTATACAGAAAACAGCGGAAGCAGATGCACAATCACCTCCGGCAGAACATGTGCCCAGCCCACCAGAATCGGAGCTTGGCCAACGGGCCCAGCCACCCCCGGCTGGACCCTGAGGAGATCCAGATGGCAGATGTGAGTGGTATTACCAGAACCCCTTCACTGTACTGCCAGCCTTTGTCACGTGCCCTGCAAGGAAGGGCCGGGGCAGCAGCCAGCCCATCCCATGCTCAGCCTTGCCCGCTAGCCTCGCCTAGCCTCACCAGAATGACTGGCCTCGCTTTGCCCACTTCCTTAAGGGGTTGATTTGCTGGGGCCACCGCTGCCCTAACATCAAGTCACTTATCCAGTGGACCACTCCCCAACCTGAAGCTTAGTGCTTCACTTCCCCATCCCCACCCGGAAGGAGGGCTGACCCACTCACTCGTCACTAACTCCCGCCCAACTGTGTCTGTTGCAGTATATCTCCAAGAATGTGCCAGCCACAGACCATGTCATCCGGAGGGAAACGGAGACCACCTTCTCTGGGAGCCACTCCTGTTCTCCTTCTCACCACTGTTCCACAGCCACACCCACCTCCAGCCACAGGTGGGCACCACCCAGGCCCACAGAGATTTGCAGACTCCTGTATGCACACCCACAGAAAGCACTAACACATATGCCCGGAGACACACAAAGAAACCTCCCAGCCAGGCTATGCCCTGTACTGAGGGTCCCTCTGAGTCAAGGGATATAGGTAAAGGACTTCAGACCGGAACCCACCACCAAACATTCATCCATCCTCAGGGGACCAGATTCCCTTTTCCAGTCTAAACCAGCCCCAGAGGAACAACAGCATCACTGGGCTCCCACCTACCATGTAGTTTTGGTTGGACCTCATTAGCACCACATTATCTGGCATAAAATGCCTCCTCATCCAAACACCCAGACCTATTAGATGCTCTCTCCTGAGTTTGCTTTTACGAACCTAGTCCACCTTAGCCTCCTTTTCTTTGTTCACCCAAGCACAAAGGTTCATACAGCTCAATAACATGGCTGGCCTCCTTCTTCCCTGGGGAACAGCATGGAATAGGCCGGGCCCCCAAGTATTGGCCACTAGGGCTGCGCTCCTGACATAAGAGGCTAAGGATCATGGGAGTGGACCCGGGGCCCCGGGCTGAGGCTAGGGGGAGGTTGGTTGTACAAAGGAAAAGAAAAGGCTTACACCTGTTGGGGCTCAGCCATCCACAGGCCCTCCTTTTCCCTCCATCATACTACATGTCAGCTCAGAGTGGAGAAGGGCATTGAGCTGAGGGTGCCTGAAATGAAATGAAGAACCGGGGGGCGGGGGGACCTGGGACCACACCTGTTAGGCTGTCCTGCCCCTTCCTGATCCCCCACCTCACCTCCACCTGGCTTCTCTAGGCATGAGAGCCACACGTGGAGCCTGGAACGTTCTGAAAGCCTGACCTCTGACTCCCAGTCGGGCATCATGCTGTCATCAGTGGGCACCAGCAAGTGCAACAGCCCAGCGTGTGTGGAGGCCCGGGCACGGCGGGCAGCGGCCTACAGCCTGGAGGAGCGGCGCAGGGCTGCCGTGCCACCTTACCATGACTCCGTAGACTCTCTGCGTGACTCCCCACATAGCGAGAGGTCAGTTCCTATCTTGTGTCCTGTGCCCCACCTTGGCCAGAGGACTGGCACCAATGACCCAGGGCCGACCCTTAGGGCACCTCAGAGACACTCCAAAAATTCCCACATCCATTTTTCAGACGGGCAAGCAAGGTCCCTGAAAGGGGGAATGATCTGCTCAGGGTGCATGTTAATGACAGACTGGGACTGAGTTTGAGCCAGTGGACCCTGGTGTGGAGTGACCATCTAATTTAATTGTCCTACTGGGACACTTTTCAAAGTTGAAGAGGATGCTATAATTGCACTAGAACATCAGGAACAAACAGTGGCTGTTCTGGACAAGCCAGAACATATGGTAGCCCTACCCTGGTGTCACCTAGAGGCCCCATGTCCCAGTGGGAACAGAAAGACACCAAGATGGAGCAGACTGAAGGGTGGGAGGGGAGGCTGTCTGCAAAGAGAATGACCAGGGCAGGCTGGGCATGAGCCAAGAAGGACTGCAGGCCCTGGCAGTATCAGCAACAAGGCCCAGGGATCAAGACACCATTGGGTTTCCGAGCAGTGGCTGCACTGAGAACCAGGAAACTCCCCTTCTTCCCTGACTCCAAGCCAGGAGTCATAGGAGGCCAGCCCTCTACGTTGCTCAGCCCTCCAGTGGCCCTTAGCAAGTGGGGTCTGTGGGAGGAGAGTAGAGGAAGGTGCATAGTACTGGGAACTCCAGGCTGGAGTGGAGGGAGAGGAAATGTTCTCTGGCTTTAACTTCACCTACTCCCTGCCAGCCCTCACTGAGCAGCCTGCCTGGGGGTCCAGAGACGGTCCATCTTGTTTTTGCTACTGAGAAGCTCCCAGCCATAGACACAAACCACTGAAACTCACAGCGTCCTATGGAACGTGCTAAGCACAGGACATCCCAGCAGGACAGACAGACCCAGCCTAACTGCAGACTCTAGGAGGCAGCCAGGTTTTCCATACCCAACCTTTTAAAGCCCAGCTCCAACACCTATGTGATTTGCAGCAGGTTGATCACCTGTGCCTTGTTTCCTCAGCTGTGGAACATGAAAAACAATACCTATCATGCATGGTTCTTGCGAAGGCCATCAGAGATCATGTGCACAAAGCTCTCTGACTCCTACTTGGCTACACTAGGTTGTTATCAATCATTATCAATAGCAATAGAACTTCTTACTGGTTGGGAGGCAGAGAGACAGGGAGAGCTTTCCAGGCAAGGGAGTACCTTGAGCTGTACTAGCAGAGGCACTTAAGAACATTGCTAGTGAGTGAGATGCCCAGAGCAGGGTGAGATGTAGGGAGAATGGAGCTGGGCCTGAACAGGTAGACTGGGGCCAGGTAGATGGCTGATGGCCCTGGGGCAGGAAGGGCCTCCTTAAGCAAAACTGACTTTAAAAGATTGCTTTGGAAACTGCATACAGTGGAGGAGAGACCCTGGAGTGGGGGAATAACCAGAGTGAACAATTAGGCCCAGTTCGAGGTAGAGCAGGGCAAAGGGTGTGTTCCAGGAGGTGGGGTATGGTGGTTAACTGGATGTCCATGTGGGAGAGGGAAGTCAGACGATCCAGAAAGAGAGTAATAAGGGCTCTGCAGAGCAGGGAAGCATAAGTCCTGGTTCTGCCTGGCATCGGTTCAAATCCCAGCCCTACTACTTCCCGGTTGTGTGAACCTTGAGCAAGTCACTTAAATGTTCGGAGTCTCAGTTTTCTCATGTGTGGTATGGGACTAAAGTAAGGGTCTTACAGAATTACCGTATTAGATGAAATGGTGCATGTAAAATGCCCCAATCTGAGCCTGACCCAAAGTAACAGTTCAAGAATATTGGTGACTGTGTGCATCCCTCACACCAAAAGGACCGTTCACGTTGGAGCATCAGGCAGGCAGTGGCACCGGCACATGCCATGTGATACGTTTATGGAATCATTCCAACAACAGCCTGGAATAAGCACTGTGGTTATCCCCTCTTAACACATAAGGAAACCGAGCCTGGGGGAGGTTAAGTAAATTGCTTAAGGTCACTGAGGACTGCCACCATCATTCGGGCGGGCGGGATCCCAGGCACTACCGGTGGTCCACCTCTTCCACCGCAACCCATAACCCGTAACCCCCAGCCCACGCCTCTGCATCTCTCCGCAGGTACGTGTCGGCACTGACCACGCCCGCGCGCCTTTCTCCAGTGGACTTCCACTACTCGCTGGCCACGCAGGTGCCGACTTTTGAGATCACGTCCCCCAACTCCGCTCACGCAGTGTCGCTGCCGCCGGCCGCACCCATCAGCTACCGCCTGGCGGAGCAGCAGCCGCTTCTGCGGCAGCCGGCGCCCCCTGGCCCCGGGCCGGGACCCGGCGCGGACATGCAGCGCAGCTACGACAGCTACTACTACCCCGCGGCGGGGCCCGGGCCGCGGCGCGGGGCCTGCGCGCTGGGAGGCAGCCTGGGCAGCCTGCCCGCCAGCCCCTTCCGCATCCCGGAGGACGACGAGTACGAGACCACGCAGGAGTGCGCGCCCCCTCCCCCACCGCGGCCGCGCGCCCGCGGCGCGTCCCGCAGGACGTCGGCGGGGCCCCGGCGCTGGCGCCGCTCGCGCCTC